GAGAAAATACGTGAACCAGAATTAGAGACCCCTGTTGCCCCACTTCCATGAAAAACATAAATAATAATTGTAAAATGTATTTGTTGTGACACATTTGTACATTTTAATAACAAAAATATCAAAGTACTACAAAAATGCAACACTGAAGAATAAAAAAGAATTAAAGATGAATGCAGTGCTACAATTATTGATATAAAATACATCAAGTTTGAACAATTATTTATGATTATTGACACCAAACAATTTTGAAATCCTTAATGAACTTTAATTTGTGATTTTTATTAAATCAAATGTGAGCTTTATGAAATCAAACTTTCTGAATTCAGAAGTAAGTAGATTACACATTTTTTCAGTATACATAGAATTAATAGAAATATTACGTCAAAAATGGTCACAATTATTACTTTTTTACAGTTGTGATCAAAATAATCATGATTATTGATTAACTGAATATACTTGACCAAATTACACAAACCATATCTTACTTGATGAAAACATATCAAACTTTATGCTTGAATGAGCAAGTGAAAGGTCCTATATTACACAAAATTGACTTTTGTGAGCTTTAAGCCATATTAGAATGTTGTTACCTTGTCATTCAGACAGTTTGTCTACATCTCAGACATCTAGATTCCACCTTGTGATTTCATGAAGCAGCCATTTTCAAGTTAACAGCTACATTTTACCAGTAGAAATGAGCAATTCCATGGCTGAAATTACCCGAATGATTCTAGTGAAGGTGTATGGAGTTTAAAAATACGGTGGAGCACTTCCTGTATTATCACGTGACATCACAAGGTGGAACAGAGTGTTTTCTGTTAGAGAGTGGAATGTCAACTAAATATGCAGGGTTTGTGTTTTAAACATGTGTGAATGAAACAAAATACAACTCCTGGTATGGTATAATGCTGTTTCTTCATCACAAACAGATCAAAAAAATAATTTAGCCCTTTATAAAGTGAGTAACATTTCAATTTAAAATAAACTTTTCTGATAGATTGTACTACTTATACTATTAGTTTTCATTCACATTTTAAACAACCACAGCTGTAACATTTGAGACTGAAACTGAAGACTAAAATATGAACTGCTACAACAATCAGTAGAGGTCTAAACTACAGATTTGTGGAAGAACTAAAGGGTTACAGAGGAACTAAATAATGACCGCTTTCGTGATCTGATCATTTGACAATTCACAAAAAGAACTATGATTTCTGTAGAGTTGACTTCAATTTGTGGCATTTTCTTTCTAGTCTTCCTCGCGTTTCTGAGTCACAAAGGTAATTGCATTGATGAGATGAACGTGTCCTATGAAACAGATTTGTAGCTCAAGAAGTTTGAAGGGCAGAGTTAAACATCAAGATGCCAAACAGAGTCTATTAAAACCCAGGTACAAAACGTGACCAGCATTAATATGTGTAAAACAGCTGACTAATTGGTGACGCATACTTCTTCGATTGTACATACACATACAATCCATCAACTTTGAGTGATGGAGTGGGGGCTGTGCGCACCCAAGCATCCAGACAGCTGTCATTAAGGAGAGGGATACTGCACACTCATACAATATTAATGAACAAAACATTTCCAGGCTGATAAACAAGCCTATTAGCAGCAACAAGCATATCATTTTTACCTTTGCTGACTCACGCTCGAGAGTCTCTTATGTTACATCTTAAAGAGGCATTTTCTGGTGGAGGATATGTCACCTGTCACCTGACTCCATGGATGTTATTGCTTTGCCTGGAATGTTCCACACTATAGCATTAAACCCATATGAACTGCATCTGTTAAATTACTTTTGTGTTTTTACTGCTCTACAAATTTGCCTTGTAATGTGACCAACAAAAACAGGTGCTTTTCTCCTTTGAGATAGGCAAGTTTAATGCCTTACTGCGGGCCATTCCAGGTAGACAAACTGGTGGAGAAACTTTCACCAGAAAAGTTACTCAGTGCAGCTTTAAAGGTTCCATATTATGCTGTTTTCTGATCTATGTAATGATGTTGTTTCCTCATCACAAACATGCCTGGAGTTCTGTTTTGCTTCATTCTCACACACAAATCCTGCATATTTAGGCTGAGTTCTTCTCTCAGAACAGAAAACACCTTGTTCCACCTTGTGATGTCATGTGGTAATACAGGAAGTGCTCCAGTGTGTTTTTAAACTTCATCCACCTTCACTCTAATAATTTGGATAATTTCAGCCCCAGAATTGGTGATCTGTACTTAACAAAAAGGTAAATGGAGCTGTTAACTTGAAAACTATTGTTTCATGAGATTACAAGGTGGAACAGACTATTTAGAGCATCAGAAATGTACACAGACTAATAATAAAGGGTTACTAAAACATGCGTGAATAAAACAAAACACAACTCCAAGTATATTTTTGATGAGGTGACAACATTAAGACACTCACAAAAATAAATTCTGCATAATGCGTGCCCTTTAAGGAACTTTTATTAGTTTTGGTAAAATTGCGCACTTGTTACAACTGCTCATTTCTTTTAGATGGTCAGACAGATTTGTGTTGTCTGTTGTCAAGACTGAATAGAAAGATGAGATACTTGTTGTTGTTGTATCACCTCCTACGCACAATATATAACAACGCTTCAGAGCAATAGTGTTTGGTTCTGTCTGTGAAAATGAGTAACTTTTTCAACTGCTGCTGGTCTAGTCTTTTCTGACTTAACTTAAAGTGCTACTGGTCAAGGAGTCATCAAAAGCATTGTGTTAATACTATCAAATAGTATTGATACACTGCAGCTGATCTCATCAGCACTCTCTGGTCCTAACTGAAAGTACTACTCTGTCTGAAACTCTGTTACTCAAGATAGAATTTAGTCTGAGCTTGGTTTTTAACAAATCTTGTGAATTACTATGCATCAACAAACCCTCTGAGAAAAAAGTGACTGTATTTCTGTTAGAGGGGTTAGTATATGGAGCAACCTGAGTGATGAGTTAAAAATGTCTAACACTGTAGAAGCCTTTAAAAAAGGGTATAAAGCGTTATTCCAGAGCCATAGAGCTTTGGAAAGAATGAATTATGCATTCAATTTAGTTTGTTTTAATTGATATTTTATCTCTTATATATACAGTTTGTCACAAGTGAAATTGTAAATGCAAACTTGCTCTTCATATGCTGCTTTTCTTTCTTGAAATACTGTCATTGTTTAATAGGGTTAGACATTATAAATACTTTTTACTTCAGCCTAAACCCTTACGGTCATGATCTACTGGGTTGTAGTCTGTGTTTTGTTTTCTTTTTGTTTTGTAGTGCTGGAAAATGACCGAATAAACTACTACTACTACTACTACTACTACTACTACTACTACTACTACTACTACTAGTAGTAGTACTACTAGTACTGCTACTAAACACAGTCTGACCAGAAAGAGCTGACTTAGTTGGACCTACGACAGGTTTTGTGCTGTTAAAAAAGTCTCTCACACATAAAATTACAGTTACGAGCTATAGCACCTAAACAGGAACATGAATGCTTGTATTGATTGGTTTTGGTTTATTTTTTCTGTCTCAGCAGAGAATCCTTGTTACTCACAAACTCAGAGGTTGGCAGTTTGATTCCTGCTCTGACCATGTTCTGTCATGTATCATTTGGGCAGGACTTCTCACCCACCTTGCTCCCTGAGTGTATGTGATTGCTGAAGGAGACTCATAATCGATAATGTATTCACCACTTTGAGTAAGCTATAATTTAATAAGATTATATAGACCGGAACATATTTAGGAAGGGCATCACATTTGAGGAGGTGGGATAAAGCTGTAGCTCTCTTTTCCACAAACTGTTGGCTAATATAAGTGACTATTCTGTTTTATGGTCCAACAAGTAAACATGATCTAGGTTTTAACAGTTTTTATATCTTTAAATGACTGACAGAGATTCTTAACTTAATTTTCTTGTATTAACTTCTTCTTTGTATGTTGTACTTGTGTTGTTACCTGCCTGGGGACCGCACATGTAAATTTGTTTTGTAGCTATTGATACTTTGCAGTGACATGAGGTTGGGGGTGTTCTACATGTATCCGTATGGTGGAATATTTACCAGTTACCATGGAGACACAGTGCAAAAATTAGGAAACACTGTCAAAAACATTTTGAAGGAAAAACAACTAAAAAACATACAAAATGGATTTAAAGGAGCCTGTGGTCAATACGAGTGTTGAAAGTCCTGTTTAGGTCTTTGATTTTCAACAAAAATGGTGAGAGAGATGAACTGAAAAACTGTTGTCTAATGCTAGTTAGCATGTGACTGTAATTTTATGTGTGAGAGACTTGTTTAACCCCGGGCTCAGACTGCCCCCATCCAGCTGCAGCTCAGTGTGGGTGACTGGTCTTATTGCTGTGACACTCACATGAGGACCGGAGCTCCGCTTGGCTGTTGCGGTCAGCACTTTTGAAGGCTGTACAAAGACCACGTGTATGTGCCATAAGAATTAATTCATGAAGGGAAAAGCCTGCAGTCGCTCCAGTGTCCGGCAGAAATAGAATCCGACTGATTGATCCAGAGCGTCGCAGCACCTCCATCAGCACCACTGGACTGCTGTACGGAATAGTTGCAGCCACCAGACCGGAGCGGTTAGCCAGACTGGCTCCACTCAATTTAATTTCTCTCCAGTGACTAAGTCAGGAATCGGAATACACTAGACGGTTTGCAAGAACCCATGAAGTTGTAGACTGCTCACCGGCCAATCAGCAAAGAGCTGTGAAGCCACAGCACAAATCAGCTCACCTAGTGTAGTTCCAACTAAGTTTGCTCTTTCTGGTCAGATTGTGCTAAAATAAAGCTCAGATTAAAGTCAAATAAAGCCTCAGACAGAGCAGAGCCTGCAGTTAGCATCACACTGTCAGGGAATATTGTTGACATCAGCTGCAAAGTATCAGTACTTTCGCATGTTTGCATTTGTTCAATACCCTAACCCTGTGCAATGTCCCTATAAAAAAAATGCAGATAAATGATATAGTATATGCATGTATGTTCAGGTGATGTCCCAGGCAGAGGGCCAGCAGAAGAGCCTGGTACAGTCCATTGACTCTCTCCCAACCAAAGGCCCCCTCTCCTGCCTGGACCACGACCTGCTGCTGCTCAAAGCCACGTCCGCCGCCACACTGAGCTGCCTGGGAGAGTGCCTCAACATCCTCCAGCAGACCCAGACCAACCCCACCGCCCCTGCCCCGTCACAGGCCTCTCAGAGGAACCACAGCGCCCCCTCTGGTGAGTCTGTGCTGCTCTCCCCCCTCTCTCCCCTCTCCCCCTGCTCTGAGCCCTGCCCCACTGGGAAAACCCCTTTGGGCAGGTTGGACTGTGGCTCCTGCCCATGCCTGGTGGAGACTCTGAACTTCAATGTGTGTACTAAATGTTGTTGAAAGTTGCATTTGTCTGTGTGTCTGTCCTCTGCAGAGGTAGGTATTTGGGTAAAGGGTAAAGCTAAAGGGCATTTGGGGTAAACAGTTTTATTACAGCTACTATACAGAAAGACAAATAAACCAGAAGTTAAAGTAATAGGAAAGAGGAACTAATGTAACTAATTGTTGAAAAATACATATTATAACTGTTTTAAAGATAAAAAAAGCTGTTTTGTAAGAATAGCGATAATATGTAGTAGTAGTAACTATAAAGTATCATGATTGCAAAGTACAATTCTCAGGAAGTGTTGAAAGAAGGAAAAGGACTGCGTATATGTACTGCTTTGATAGTTGTATTAATATATTTACAAAATAACAAGGTAACCAAATGTTCCTTTTCCGCACATTAAAGGGCCCATATTATGTTATTTTCAGATCTATGTTATAATGTTGTGTCCTCATCAAAAATATGCTTGAGTTGTGTTTTGTTCCACCTTGTGATGTCATGTGGTAATAAAAACACAATGGAGCACCCACTGTGTTTTTAAACTCCATACACCTTCACTAGAATTATTTGGATAATTTCAGACCTGGAATTGCCAATCTGTACTGAATTAAAGGTAAAAGGAGCTGTTACCTTGAAAACTACCACTTCATGACTTCCCAAGGTGGAACTATTTTGAACTTTGGAGATGTAGGCAGACTAATAATAAATTACTCAAACATGTGTGAATGAAACAAAACACAACACAACTCCAGGTATGTTTTTTTATGAGGTAACAATATTATATGTTGCTTAAAGCTCACAGGAAACAATTCTGTGTAATACGGGACCTTTAAGCAATAAGTATTTATCTATGCAACATTGATGTGAATACTATTGCCAGTAATTTAACTTGTGTTACATTTACAGTAACATCACAAGTATTTTTTATTTTTTTTTATGTGAGTAAATTAAGGCCCAGCAAACTAGCTAGTCACCTTTGCCCGTCCATTTGTGTTTTCTGTCTTTTGTGTCATTTTTCATTCATTATTGTTCAATGTATTTAAATGCATTGAAAAGGCAGTGCCAAATGAGACATGTATGTGACGTGTGTTTGAAAAAGCTATTTTAAATTCCACACAAACATTTCTGTGTTTATGCATGTCAAATATGAAGGGCTTTTGTGTGAACTGGTACCTTTAAATCTATGCACTCTCCTAAAGGACTATTGCCAAACTTTCTCACTGGTGCCTATGTCAGAGCTGTTAACCCTACATGTGCCAAATCCTATGGACCCAATAAAGTCAGAGTTTAAACATTCTGCGTCCTGAGCTGCTTCTCTGGACAGGAATCTCAGGGTGAAGGATAGTATTTGTTTTTAAAGCTGTATTATGTAACTTTTTGGTTGGGGGTCCATCACCAGCTTGTTTCTGGAATGCAATAACGTCTCTGTGAAGCATTTGATGAACCCTCCATCAGAAAAGTTACACAATACACCTTTAATAAGTTATCTGTATCAGCAGTAGAATGTAGTAGGCCTATAGTAGTCATGTCAACAAACATTTATTCTTTGTAGCTGACTTCATCAACATTTTCTAGGGGTGATGTGGAGAAGGTTTCATTTGTGCTCTTCTGGATGGAGCTGAAACATCTTGATCATAAAAACACACTCCAGATGATCACAAATGAAACCTTCTCTGCACTGAACCAACTCTGTTACTCAAGTTAGATTTTCATCTGAATTTAAATTTAACATAATGTGACCAGAAAGAGCTGTCTTACTGTCTCACCTGAGCACAAGAGGTGAGCTGATTTGTACTGCTAAATATGTCTCACACACATCAAATTACAGTCAAAAACTACTACAAACTAAGGATGTGTTTGCAAATGTGTGCATTGGGTCTCCATGGTAACTGCTGAACAGTCTGCCATGGACATACATGTAGAACCCCCCCAGAATGATGTCTAAGTAATGTATCAAAGAGTGCAATACTGAAGATGGCATTTTTGGATTCACTGCAATACATATTATATTTGAGTTTTTAAAGATAAAAGTTTTGGTAAATGTGTGTTTTGTGATTCTTGGTTCTTGTCTCTGATCAGTGACTGTGTCGGCAGGAAGGAGGTGGAGCTCAGGAAATCCAATGCTTTTAGGAGATTACTCTGTTACTGGAAACCTGCAGCTGATCGGACTCTAGAGAAATCTTCAGTCATATTCAGTATATCTCTAAATATGTGAACTTGACCTTCACTAATTACACCATCAATGTAAATGTGATATTAATGATATAAACACAGCTTAAGCAATGTGAAAAAACATGCACATGCTTGAAGATACACTTGTCTCCAAGGCCCCTAACAGCTCCAGTCTTAGGTCCTCATATTTGTGTCAGATGCCCTCCCTCTTGGCCTTGCCTCCTCACGTGTTGGTGTTGTGTTTGCGCCCACAGTCGCTCTGCCCTGTAGCTGCTCCTCAGACAGGGGCTGGTGTGGAGTGGGACGCCCCGGCTGCAAGTACTGCTCACCTCTCTTTCTCCGTCGTTTGGCATATACAGTTTGACCACTAGGGGGTGCAGCTGCTCCCTGCCTCTGGCATGTGACCCACACTGCGGTGCTGGGGGCTTGGTTCAGGTCCGGGACAGTGGCATGATCCGGCCCGTGCAGCTGATACAGGGTGTGGCTGGTGGGTTCAGTGTGTACTGCCTCTGCATGGACTGAGACCTCTGTGAAGAGGCACAAGCATGAGTTTATGCTCCTGATACAAATACGTGATCAACAGGATACATATAGCCACAGGGATTAAAGGTGCATTATGTCAATTTTCTGGTGGAGGTCCACCACTTGCTTTTCTGTATGGAGATGTTATTGCTTTGTCAGAAATGTTTCACTATGTGACTTTAAACCTTTCTATCATCATGGAGACCAAACCAAATCAGTTACTGGTCAGATCTCTATAATTGAATAAATGTAGGGTAGATTTGTTTATTGTCATATTCGAACATTTGAAGCAGAGCAATGACACGAAGGTGACGAACCCCTGACCAAAAAGTTACATAATGCACTTTTAAGTAATATATCTTTAAATAACATTAAATAACCTACCAGTCACAATTGAGACAGTGAAATATCAGCACAGTGGATCCTGCATTTTTTTCCTTTACAACACAAAGTAAAGGAATGCATTTGGACGCAATCCTGGAAACAACTCCTTCCCTCTGAAGCTGGTCTCTGCTGCTGAAACAGGGAAACTCAAACTGAAGTGAGCTATGGAAGCACTGTGAAAATCGGTTAATTAACAGAACTGTTTTTACACAGTCTGTATAAGCATATTATAAACTCATCATATTGTGTGATAATGGCCAGTATAATCATTTTAACATCTTCATTTGAGATCATTTCAGTGCAATGGCAGAAACCAGCTTCTACTGAAATAATACCTTTACCTTATGGAAGTGAATCTAAAGAACTTAAATCAGTGCCCAGAAATGGAAGTTGGAGCCATTGGAAACATCTGCCGCATGTTTACTTTCACTTTCACTTTCGCTGCATGTATCCAGTCACCAATGGCACTGTTCACCCACCCTCATCTCACTCTCTCCATTTCTGGGTTCCTCTGTGACAATGGACAAAGTAAAAAAAAATCTTAAATCTTAAAAAATATTTGAAGAAATTAATGTCCTGGCTTCTTGGTTTAATTTCATGAATTCCTTGTTTAGACAGGTTTAGTTTTGGTGTAGTCCAGATTTAATCCCAGTTCTGTGTCAGTATTATTGTGCTAGAAGCTATGCAGCATTTGAACCCTAAAACCTGCACTACAGTAAGCACATTTGTGATAATGTATGTTTTAAAAACGTAAAATTCTGGGTTACCCCGATTTAATATCTTTATTCTTGACAGTCCCTGAAAAGCTTTTAAAAATAATTTGATAGTGAGTTTATTATTGATTACTGACAGTGTAAACATGAGACATCGCAAAAATGCTCACTTCCATTGACTGTATCTCTATAATTTTTTTTGTTCATTTTATAGGAACAGCGCTTATTAATGAACTTCTGTAAACTTTACAGTATAAAAATTATAAAGATGGAAACTATTTTGCTTTCAGATCCAGATCCATCAATGTACACTTGTCCGTTAGCATTAGCCACAGACTCGCTAACACTCTCTCCGCTCCTGTCCATCAAACTGTCAGCGGACCAGAGCACTGAGTACACACAGTACACACAGTACACACAGTACACACAGTACACACAGTACACACAGGGCCTGAAGCTGATTTCACTGTTTTTAAGGAGCTTTGCATTGGTCTCATCAGAACCAGCACGGCCCATGTCAGCACACTGTAATGGGCTCAGAGCAGGACTCAGGCCAGTGGAGTCCAGTTACAGCGCACAAAGTGAACATGATCTGACCTTTGACCTCTTTCATTTATCTTTAAATGAGTGGAAGAGTTTTTCTGAAGGCAGTTTCAACTTTTGATAATTACTATGTAAAAAGACTAGTACAAATTCACCATGTTTGTCCTTACTAAAAAATCAGTTTTTACAGCTAAGTTGTGTGATAAAAACATTCAACTTTGAAACATACTGCATGTAAGTATAGATATATTGTAAAAGCAGCTTTTGGTCAAATTTTTTATGGTCAGGAAGTAACATTGGTGCTTGGTTAGCATGCTTGTTGTTGTTAGCTTTACCCCCTCTGAGATTAGTGAAATGTGCTTATCTTATTGTTGTGAATATTTAGGATGCTTAGAAATGCATCAGGAAAGTGAGGAATTAATTTAGAGCTCCTGCAAAGCCTTTAAAATCAGCTAAAAATTAAGTAAAAATCTAGTACCTTAAAAGCGTCTAAAAAGCATGTAGTGAAAAGGTAGCTCGACTATACTGATAAGATTTTTTATTAGATAAGACATTGCGAAACTGCATAATGTTGTGATTCTGTTAATTAAATACTTTTTATTACACAGCCAAAGCCATAGAGGTCGTTCAGGTGTTGCTCCGTGAAATACAGATCACTGATGTGGGCAGACATTTTACATTATATAACTTTACTAGAAACAGATCTGAAGGAAAAGGTATTTACCATTACCAGTATTTTCAGTTCTTAATCAAACTTGCTTAAAGGGCCCATATTATGCCATTTCCAGACCTATGTTATAATGCTGTTTCCTCATTACAAATATATCTGGAACTTTATTTAGTTTCATTTACACATGTTTAACACACAAAGAGTGCATATTTAGGTTGTGTTCTTTTCTCAAACTGAAAGCACTCTGTTCCACCTTGTGATGTCATTTGGTAATGCAGGAAGTGCTCCAGTCCATACACTTTGCGTAGATTCATTTGGATGGTATGACATGTGTGAATGAAACAAAACACAGCTCCAGGTATGTTTTTGATGAGGTAATAATATTCTAACATGGCAAAAAGCTTACAAGAGTCCATTTTGTGTGTAATATAGGACCTTTAAGAGCTGCTAAAGTAACCCAGTCTATAACAAAGGAGAACAGAACTGGTCTATTCTCCCATAATGCAAGCAAACTGAAGAAGAAGCATTCGACCTTTGCTTTGTAACATCACAGGGACTGAGACGCCACGCCAATTTCCTGCTGTCTCTGCTGTCAATCTGATATGCCTGTTATGAAAAGCTTATATCAGATTCAAATAGGCTCATATCAACTGCTTTTTATATTCAAGCTTCTCAATAATGCATAAAACCAGTTCTCAAAAGTTGGGAGGCTTTGTATAAACATAGAACTAAATCATATCAGGTGTTGAAACCAATAATTGTTGTTTTGTTTTTTCATCATATTTTGACCAACTTTAAAGGTACACTATAAAACTTAGTCATAGATGTTATTGCTTTGTCTGGAATGTTCCACACAATGGCATTAAACATACAGTAACTATCTCAGTTGGCAGACATAGTTTCATAGTGCATCTTTAAACATCCAATTAAACATCCAAAGGGTGCACAGACTTTTTTCCGTCAAGGGCCACATATCAAAACATAATAATATAAAGATAATATAATAGATCATTTGATAAGTGCATTTTTATAACAGATTTGAGTGAGATAATACACCTTTCATTTTATGCTTAGATCCAATATGGTGCACTAAATATTTGTTATTGGCTTTATCAAGTTAGATTTTCACAAACTTGCAGTAAAAAGTCTTGCATAATAGTTTGGACATGCCTGATAGAGGAAAATATATATCTTAAAATCTGTCATCATCATAATCCAGCTATACTCTAGGCTTTGATGTAAGATAACTGATGTGTTGCTTGCATCAAATACCAAATATGTGCTGTCTATTTATCTGTCTATCATAAAGTGGTCTCAACCCCTGATATGTTGTTTATCTTCTCTTTTGAAAAGCTTTTAAACACAGCTCCCAACTTCTTTTGAACTTTGAAAAGAATGAGCCCAGCTCCTCTGTGCCTGTACCAGTCTCATACCTACTTTTGTTCTTGTGTTTGGTGCAGATGGTGCTCCTGTGTGGACTGTCCCAAAGTCCCCCTCAGTGGAGCAGATGAGGAACGGTCTGACCCCTCTGCACTCAGCAGAGCCCTCCCCGGACTCCCGAAAACGCAGCCTGCCCCATGGAGCTGAGGTGAGAGCAAAGTTGAAGTGTCCATCACCTGCTTGTTTCTGTGGAGATATCATTGCTCTACCTGGAGCGTTCTACAGTATGACATTAAGCAGCTCTACCTTACATTTATTAATTTCCATGTGGTTTTATAGCTCAAAAGTACCTAGAAAAACAGGCATTCTGACTGTGAGCGGGGATGCCTCTTGACAAATCTAACCTTTAACTTGGTCTGGTTTGGTCTCCATGATAATAAAAGGATTTAATACCATAGTGTGAAACATTCCAGACAAAGACATAACATCTCCATGGAGAAAATTGACAGAATTTTTATTTGACAGAACCTCCATCAGAAAATTACACAATGGTCCTTTAACGGGGCTGATAATGATAAGGTGTTTTTATATGTTTTGCTATTCATCAGAAAGGTACAAAGTTGTGACCATAAATGCCTTAATTGAGACTCAAATTTTGTACAAGAGTTAATGATTTATAACTATAGGTTGTATGGACATAGTTAACCCACTAGCTAGTTCTAAATAAGAAGTGAGCATGAACGCACTTCTGGCTCCATCAACTCCAGCTTCGTTCACTTTGTACTGAAAAATCATCAACCCTCTCTCTGTAACTGCTGCTGTCAGGCTGCTTGTTTTGATCTTAAAATATTCGTATTAACCCGATCTACATGATCCTGGTGTTTTTATTTCACTCAGTTAAAATCGATTTCTATTCCTGATATAGAACTCAGCTCCAAATGTGCTCCTGTAACTGCTAGCCTCGTGGAGCTCTATGTGAGTGGAGCCGAACGCCACAGGTGACATTCACTTTATACATGTTAATAGCTGAACTTCATTTGCCAGTTTGATGGTTTTTGTACCAGTCCCGAGCTTGGAAAAAGGAGTAGGGTTAAGTAAGGGAGGGCATAGGAAGTAAAAACTATACCAAATCAATGCATCATACTAGATAAAGACAGAAGAAAAGCTTTTTTTTTCTCTAATTATAGTATTGCATTTTGTCATTCACTGATAATTCACATTTTTTAAACAAGTCATTTATTTATTTATTTTTTATCTTTTTATCCCCTCTAAATTTCACCCTGACCCTCCCTCTTAAAAAACTTACAAAATAAAAGTTTGACAACTCTGTATATTTTTGTTAGTTCCATGGCAGTAATCAGTATTTTTACTCACTGTTTGCCTGTCAGCAACAAAGATTAGCCTCCTATCACAGATTACAGACACATGAGTTGTGCTTTGTAGTTATTGTATCAAAACAAACCCAAAGAGGATTTGTGCTGTTTCCCTGTTTTGAATGTGTCTCTTGTGTCTGGTGAATGTTTGATCACAGCTGTCATATTTAATGGGTCGTGGATGAGTTGGATCTGCTGAGGGATTTTCCACAGTATGATAACCATGACAATGGACTTTTTCAATAAAAGTGTTGCTGATATATGATCTGTTGCTCCTTGGTTATGTCTTACTTTGGTGCAGAGATTTGGTGAAACACAGATCAGTTAATATCAGAGCGATGCTGCAGTTTGGTACAGTAGGATTAAGCACGCAGGGTTTTAAATATTATTAAATATATTATTAAGTGAAATATTATAGGAAACTACTCTAGGCTTTTGATGATGATGTAGTGTGACCAAATATAATTATAGATTCAATGGATTTTGGCCAGCAATGTACTTCTGCTCATCAATTATCTACATGGGTTTATGGGTCGTTTGAACAAAGTTTGAGGAAGGAAAACAGGGAGGACGATGATGTGAGGTGTCCAAGTTGACAACAGCTAATGCATGGTTCTTTGGAAAATATTTTCCTGTTCTTGGCTCTCCTCCAATATTTGTTCTGCTTATTTGTTCGCTGATGAGTTTGTAGCTGTCTGTGAAATTGTGAATCCAGTAGATTTTTAATTTTGGCTCTTACATGGCTGTACATAACTACAGCTGCCATATGCAGTTCCTTCTGCATTTTCTCTTGCTTCGTTACTTTTTTTCCTCAGTAACTGTTCATATGCATGTGTCGCATTCATTTCAGTTCCAGCCAATGCAAGTTTTCTTCAGCTGAAGAAATGTCTGTTTTTAGTTCACTGATGAAGCAGTTACACAAGTGTGTTTCCCAAACATCATGCGTCCTCTTTCCTCTCCTCTCTCTTTCTCTCCTCTGTCTTCTCTCTTAGTCTCACCTCTTCTCTCCTTTCTCTCTCTTGCTCTTCTCTCCTCTTCCCTCATGCTTCTGTCTCCTCTCTAACTCTGTAACCTCTCTCCTCTCTCCCCTCTCTCCCTCTCCAAACTCTTCTCCCACTCCTCTCCCTTTCTATCTCACCTCTCCCCTTTCCTGTCCCTACTCCCTCTGCTCCTTTCTCCTCTCTTCCTGTTCTCTTCTCTCTAACTAAAATATTTCCATACTTTTTTAAATGGTTAAATGTTGTAATGTATGTTTCTAGAAGATTCCCACCTACCTTACACATACACATTTACATACACAAACACATGCACATTCACATATACATACATACATTTACGCACATGTCAGTTACAGTGTGTTTACATGGGTCATGTATGCAGTACATTGATCCAGTTACGTAAAGCTGTAGTGGATAATGGACAGTCTGTGGAATACATAATACACATAAGTAGGTTTGGGGTCTCTGCCCTTGCTCTAATAGTGTCTGTGTAATGTTAGTTGAGTTGTTTCATATCACTGGTGTAAGAGAGAATCTTGTTAAATGTATTATCTGACAATAATATACATTAATGTAAACAAGACACAGCACAGGAGTGTTTTATATCTGAGAGAAGAACTCAGCCTAAATATGTAGTATTTGTGTGTTAAACATGTGTGAATGAAACAAAACACAACCCCAGGTATGTTTTTGATGAGGAAACATTATAACATAGATCAGAAAATAGCCTAATACTGCATTACCAATGCTACTGATACTACATTTATACAGGCTATGTCCACTGTCTAAGATTCACCAGTTTTATGCATCATTATTTTGGGCTATAGTTATTTATTTGGGTCTTATTCATTTTGATTTAGCCACATTTAGTCTGTGGATTTAAAACATCCAAAGTTACAGAAGTGAATGAAAGATTTCCGTTTTCTAAGTTTGTTGATAAAGATTTATATGCCCACGAGCCAGACTTTTAATTATGCACACAACAGGGAAACGAAAAGCTCCATCAATCTTGTGAGTAAAAAGCACTGCAGCTTCCACTTCCTCTTTTGTCGGCCAATGCCATGACACTACTGTATAATTTATGCTTCAGCGGTGTACTGTTTGTGGAAGTCAATTCTCCATCCAATCTTCTTTCCCATACTTTGGAGGGCTTCCAGCTTTACATGTAATCTCAGGAATAGACAGACTGGGAGTGTGTGCTTGTGTTAGAGTGATAAAGTATTTTTTTTCTTTTGAATGATGGATTGCGTAAAGGGCCTATACTATACACTATTTTCTGATCTATGTTACAATGTAGTTTCCTCATCAAAAACATACCTGGAGTTGTGTTTTGTTCCATTCACACGTTTAACACACAAATCCTGCATATTTAGGCAGTTTTCTCTTTTTTACACCTTCATCTTGAATCTGTGCTGTGCCTTGAAGATGTAAAAGCACTACTGTGTATAAAAATCGCTACCATTTGGATTATTTCAGACCTGGAATCGCCAATCGCTACTGAAGAAAAGGTTAAAGGAGCTATTAACGTGAAAACTTCCACTACGTGATGTCACAATGTGTTATAGTGTTTTGAGCTTAAAGGATGTAGACAGACTAATAATAAAGGATTGCTCAAATGTGTGTGAATGAAACAAAACACAGCTCCAGGTATTTTGGGGTAACAATTTTCTTACATGGCTTAAAGCTCACAAGAGTCTTTTCTGTGTAATATGGAACTTTTAAACAATTGAGACTACAGAACAGAGATACCCTTATATAAAATGATTATGTCACCATTTTCCACTAAATTTTATTTTTTTATTTTTTGAATAATCACACAGTCTACTTATAATATACACATTAATAGAGATGTTATTGTCATGTATTATACAGCACTAAAACACCTGTAATTGAGTAAATATAAAATAGATTTAAATCAGTTTAATTCCATACTGTAGAACTTTCCAGGCAAAGCAGTAACGTCTGTGTGGAGGCAGCCAGTTAATGGACCTCCCTCCAGAAAACTTACGTAGCACACTTTCAACATAAAACAAACTATATTTATTTTACTTTTTTTGAGTCTGGCAAAATTCTGTCTGCAGAACTGAAATGGGATAACCCCCGTTACACAATGGCTCTAATATGTTTTCATTCACATCTTTGTTTGTTTACACTTCTTAAGCATTTTGACCTATTTTCTCTGGACATGTTGCTAAATTTAGCACGTGTCATTGTGGTGTTACAGGGACACAATCAGTAACTTCAGTTTACCGCCAGAGGGCAGCAAAGTCCATCAAGTCACAGCTCAGCATCAGCTCAACCAAGCCAATCTCACATCTGCATTATACATGGGGAGATCTACAGTTATATAATACACACAGCAGAAAAAATGAAACAAAAAAGAAGACAAGCATTGTCTAAATAAAATAGTTTTATCTGAGCCAGATTGCATTTTGGTTATGCTAAAGGTGCTTTGTCTCATTTTTTCGTGTAGGGGTGTGCAAAAATATTGAAATATTGTGATCCTAAATTTGGTGTATTGGTATCTTGCCAAGAGTATTTTTTTTTGTATCTTTTTTTGGGGGGGCCTCACTACAATTTTGTTGCTCATTTAGTAGAAGAAAACGTGTTTATGCAATATTATATATCATTACATATTCAGTATTTTGATGATTAAAATGGATAGTATAAAAGTATAAATAGTATTTCATATTAAATTTGCACAGGTAGTTTACGAAAGAAATATTGTTGCTAAAATGTATTTGGTTCATGATACTCCATATCATGGAGTATCATGGAGTATTATGTGCAATATATTATATATATTGCACATTGCACATATATTATCACATATATCA